AGCTGGTGTGGTGGAACTTGCCTGTCATCACAACACTCATGAGGCTGAGGCAGGAGGAGCTTGAGCTCAAGGCCGGTTTGCACTACATAGAAAAAAAATGTCTTTAACAAAAGGAGAAGGGGTTATATAAGTAGATACAGATTGTCAAGGAGAAGGGGGACAAGAGACTCACATAGATTAGGGACCAGAATGGAGATTATGATGTATTCCTTCTGTTTTCTGTGAGCACTGCACACACATGGTGCACAGACATACATGCAGGCAAAACACTCATGCACATAAAATAAAATTAAATCTCAAAAACATCAAAAAGAAAGAGATATATTTGTCTCAGTCAGTGTTCTGTTGCTGTGAATAGACACTAACCAAGGCAACTCTTATAAAAGAATTTAATGGGGCTTACTTACAGTTTCAGAGGTTTAGTCCATTGTCGTGGTGGAAAGCATGGTGCCACACAGGCAGACATGATGCTGGAGAAGTAGCTGAGAGTTCTACCTCTGGATCTGCAGGCAGAAGAAAAGAGGACATGGCTTGTTTGTTTTTTTTTTTAAATTAAGGGCCTGCAACCCTAGGCTTAAGGGGCAATATCAGCTGACATCTGCATACTTACAAGGCCTGGCACTGTTTTTATTTATTTATTTATTTATTTATTTATTTATTTATTTTATTGATGAGTACACTGTAGCTGTCTTCAGACACACCAGAAGAGGGCATCCAATCTCATTACGGATGGTTGTGAGCCACCATGTGGTTGCTGGGATTTGAACTCAGGACCTCTGGAAGAGCAGTCAGTGCTCTTAACTGCTGAGCCATCTCTCCAGCCCATGGCTTGGGTTTTTGAAACCTCAAAGCCCACCCCTAGGGACACACTACCTCCAGGAAGGCCATAACTCCGGATCCTTTCAAATAGTGGCACTCCCTGTGCATTCAAACCTATGAACCTATGGGGCCATTCTTATTTAAGCCTTCGCAATGTTCAATGTGGCCCACTGAGTAAAGGAATAAATAAGGGGGTCCAGTGACCCTCAAGTCTGATTTGAGATTTTAGTTTAAATAGAGGATAAGAAGTATGCTTAACTAAGCAGTCCTGGTCAAGGTGTGGTCTGCCCATCATTGTCTCTGATCCAGTCTATCCTGCAAGGTGGTCTGACAAGTTGTTAAAACTGTGTGAAATCTCTTTCCAGAGGGTAAGTGCCTCTTCTACTGCTTCAGCCCTTCTCTTCTCTCTGCTTGAGATTCCTGAGGAAATCTTAATTCTTTAGGGTCATTGTCTTAATAGCCCATGGGAGGGGAACATGGGAGGGGTCTGTCTTTAGAGTTTCTCCTTTCCTGCCAGGAGAGCTACAAACTAGAATGAATCTCAAAGTCAGGCTATACTGTCATCTCTCTCTCTCTTTTCCTCTCACAGACAAATGTACGATAAATACAGGTATCTCTTTCTTTTCCTTGGACAGACAAAGATATGATAAATGCAGGTGGTAGCTTTTGGCATTTAAGATTATTTACTTCAATTGGACAATCCAAGGCCAACACTTTATCATCATCTGAATGTTCTGTGTCAGGCTGAGAATCCATAATTACCAGGCCAGGACTCACTGAGTCTGCACTAAGTCTCACTGCAATGCTAGCTCAGTCTGGCCTGAAACTCACTATGTCTACTAAGCTGGCCTAGAACTCATAGTAATCTTCCTGTCTTGGTCTTTCCCAACCCTCAGTGCTGTGACCACAAGTGTGCACCATCATGTTCAGTGACATGAGAAAGATTTCAGAGGAAGAAATGTGGGTGAATTCTCAGAGAATTCCCCACCAGAGGGAGCAGGAGTGAGGGTGAGGGGAGTTGTTCTGGCCTTATCTCTTGTGCCTTTTGTGTGGGGTCCATGTTTACAGAGGTAAGGAGATATCTCCTGGTCTTGTTCAATAGTAAATTTTACATTATCAGTTATCTTTCTTGGGACTGGACATTTGGGGTAAAGCCATGGGTCACTAGGGATTAAGCTCTAGATGTTTCTATAAAGCCATTACAAGACACGGGTCAGGCTCTAAGTAGTTAGGTAGGGTTTACTGGCATGGCAATTTTGTTTTTATTTCTAGTATTTGTCTATGCATTCTGCCTATTTATTTAGTGCATCTATTTTGTGTGCATGTGTGAAGGTCACAGGACAACTTTTTGGGAATCAGTTCACTCCTTTTCTCTTTTTAAAAAATATGTGTGTGTGTGTGTGCACGTGTGCACACCTATGTGAGTTTCTGTGCTACATACATTCAGGTGCCTGCAGAGGCCTGACAGCATTGGCTCCCACTAAAGCTGGAGTTACAGATGTCCGAGTCCCCCCTCATCACCCCCGTTGTGGGTGCTGGAAACTATACATGCCTTTTGACAGTTTTGCAAACATCTTTCAGGAAAGGAATCTTTTTATGTTTTGAGAAAGTATTTTTCTATGTAGCCCTGGCTGTCCTGGAACTAACTCTGAAGGTCAGGGTGGTCTTAAACCAAGAGATCTACCTGCCCCTGCCTTCCGAGTGCTGGGATTAAAGGCATCTACCACCACTGCCTGCCTGGCTCAGGAGAGTAATTTTAAAGAGACATTTGTGCTTTCAGACTATGAACCCCAAAGAATCCAACTTCCCCCAGGAATCTTGTGCAGGGGGAAGAGAAGGGCTGAAGCCTGTAGCCATACAGAGGAGGACTCCCAGGAAAACACTTCATACAGCTTTGGTAACCTGCCAGACAACCTTCCATGTAGGACAATTAGAGCAAGACAATGATGGGTCAATGATGCCTGGGACACACCTTGACTAGGACTACTTTGTTATATATACTCCTTGTTCTCTATTTAAACTTAAAAAATATGTTAATTATATGTGTGGTGTGTGCGTGTGCCTTCAGAGTCCAGAGGTGCTGGATGCCTCTGGAGCTGGAATAACAGGCAGTTATAAGTTGGGAACAGAATTTGAGTCCTCTGGAAGAACAGTATGCCTTCTAACTGCTGAACCATCTTGCTATCTTTTTCTACTTAAACTTAAACCCATGTCCAATATTCGGAAGATGGAATTGAGGGGATGTGTTACTGGAGCCCTCCATATGTCCTCTTCCACGGTGACTAGATTGAATAATCTCATTTTTGCTTCCCACTATTGCTTGTCCCTTTAATTGTTGTGTTGAGGATGGGCAGCTGAGGGCGCAATTTTTTTTTGTTTTGTTTTGTTTTTTGAGACAGGGTTTCTTTGTGTAGCCCTGGCTGTCCTGCAACTAGCTCTGTAGACCAGTCTGGCCTCTAACTCACAGAGATCCAGCTGCCTCTGCTTCCTGAGTGCTGGGATTAAAGGGGTGCTACCACTGCCCAGTTTGGTAAAATCTTTTTTTTTAATTTATTTATTGTATGTAAATACACTGTAGCTGTCTTCAGACACCCCCATAAGAGAGCATCAGATCTCATTATGGATGGTTGTGAGCCACCAAGTGGTTGCTGGGATTTGAACTCATGACCTCTGGAAGACCAGTCAGTGCTCTTAACCACTGAGCCATCTCACCAGCCCGGTAAAATCTTTACATGAAAAAATGAAAAGGAATATTTTGTGATATGCAAACAATAAAAAATCTGAAAGTTCAATGTACACACTAGTTTTACTAGTGAATTCTAGTTTTTGTCCATTTTTAAAAATTATTTATCTATTTTATGTATGAATGTTCTATCTGCCCATATACCTGAATGCCAGAAGAGGGCAACAGATCTCATTATAATTGGTTGTGAACCACCATGTGGTTGCTGGGAATTGAACTTTGGACCTCTGGAACAACAACCATTGCTCTTAAGTGCTGGTTGCTCTAAAGCTCTGGTTGTTGAGTGCTGAGCCATCTCTCCATTCCCCAATTCAGCTGTTTTTATTTAGGTACTGTAGCATCTGTGGCTTCACTCTTCTTCCAGTGTCACAGTCCAGTAGTCCCAGGTATTTGCTGCCTGGCCTTTTCAATGCGTTAGCCTGTGCTTAAACATTGTCTATGTTCCACACAGCTATGAGGTACGGTCTGATCTGATTAATAGTTGGTTCTTTGTCCTTTCTTGTATTAACTCTTTCTTTTGGTGCTGGGCATTGAACCCAGGGCCTTGCACATGCTACGATCATGCTCTAGCACTGAGCCATACTCCCAGGCCCTTCCAAACCCTCTGCCATGAAACTTCAGCTGCCTCCTACTTTGACCTTGTTTTGGGTCACATGACTTGCTTTGACCAATGGGAATCAAAACAGTGGACTGACTTATGAATGCAACAGGACATGTTCTCTCCTGCTTCTAGGCCACTATCATGCGCACAGACCCAGGGTAGTCTGCTGGTGGATGAGTCATAAGACCCACAGCGAAGTAAGCTGTTATTTCTCCTGAGGTCATCCTAGGTTAGTCAAGTTAAAGGTCCAAGATTATCATGGCTGACCACAGACAGACTTGAGGAGGCCCAGTTGCAATCACCCTTACCAGCCCAGATCAGCTGACTGCTACCATTTGCCAGCTGACTGCCTAGGCATGCATGTTACTGAGTTTGGTGATGGTTTGTTACAACCAACCATCACAGTTTAGCATCAGAAAGTAGCATATATGTTCTTAAACTTTCTTTTGCTAAACAGGCTGTGAAGCTTTTTTTTTTCTCTTGAGAACAATTTCAGCTTCTGGTAAACACAGAAACTGAAAGAAACACAGAAATCTGAAACTTTAGGGCTTGGGGCAGGCATTAAATCATCCCTTAAGTTTCCAAAGGAGTACCAGAACTTTTTTGTTTAGTTTTGTTTGAGATAGTCTTTATATTGTAGCCCAGGCTGGCCTAGAATTCACTATGTAGCCCTCTTGCCGAGGCCTCCCCAGGTGTGAGCCACCCCAATCAGTACTTTGACTCAGCATGGGGCAAGTGTGTATCTAGTTTATAGCTCAATTGCCCAGGAATCAAAGTGATGCTGAGGGTCTCTGACTTGGTCTATCTCTTCACCATGAAGACACCAAGACAGACAAACAGGCTCTACAGTTTATTTTTTTTTAAAAAGAATTCAATTTATTTCCTTTTAGAACTGTAAAAAAAAGTACTTTGGATATAAAATCTAAACAACTAAGGTGTGGTCAGTCAGGAGGCCATGGCCCTCATGATCTGCATCCTCCAGTCACTCAAGTATGGATCAGCAAAACAGGACCTGCGCTGAGTGGGAGCTCTACAGCTGCAGATCCTCAGGAAGGAGGAAGGAAAGAGAGTGAGTGGTACAGTGTCGGAAGAGAAGGAAGTGGACGGACTGCGGAGGAGGCAAGACTGCACTTCATACTACAGTCTGCGGTGGGGGAAAACACTTTAATTTGCAATAGGAAAGGTCTTCCTTTTTTTTTTTTTTTTTGAGATAGGGTCTCTCTCTATAGGCTAACCTAGAACTCATTAGGTAGGCCTCAAACTCACAGCAATCCTCCTGCCTCTGTTTCCAACCAGGCCTGGTGAGTCTTCCTTCTTGAATGCTGAGCACAGCTAGTGTAAATGTATCCTAGGACTCCACCTGTTTTCTGGTGCCAATGGCTGTTCCTCCCTGGAGAGCAGCCCAGGACCTTCACCAGGAAGGAAAGGTGTTCATCCACGTGACATCAAGTGGTCACCTTCGAACTTGCATGAACTCCTTGCGCAGCCATAGTGAGTCCTGGTAAAAGCGGGGGTCACCCAGCCTCACAGCCGTCCTTTTGTAGAAATAGCAGTAGAGCACTGCGGCTGAGGACAAAGGTAGAGAGCAGCCTCAGCGGGGGTCCTCAGTGTTCCCTTCAGGGGAGAACTAAGCCCAGCCAGGCCCCCCACTGCCCCTGGGGGTTCGAGTGGTCTCCCAGAAAGGGCAGAGGGCAGCCCTGCCCCTTCCCTTTGTGAGGCTGGCCTCACTGTCCCAGGCTGTCCAGATGGAGCTGGGAAGCTGGGAAACAGGACTGCAGCTGTGCTGCAGGCTGTGAGTGCACCTGAAGCCACTCCATCCTCACCTAGTCTCTGGAATACAAACAGTGTTTGCAGGCCATTTGTCCATCTGAAGCTGCTCGAGTTTTTCCATCGTACGTTCTAGAGGAGACATGAGTACAAAAGGAAAGGTTAAAGGACCCATGAGGCTGTTATATTTCCAACTTGCTTAGCTGCAGCAAAGCCACTTGGTTGAAAATCATGCTAACCTCACTCTTTTCATAAGTTCCAGGTATATTTCTCAAGGGAGCTTCAAACACCTCAAAACTTTTTTCTTTATGGGGCTGGAAAGATGGCTGAGTGGTTAAGAGCACACTGACCTAGGTTTGGTTTCTAGGAGCTATATGACAGCACACAACTCCTATAACTTAGTTCCAGGAGATCCAAAGCTCTCTTCTGGCCCCCGTGGACACTAGGCACACACATGATGCACACATGCAGGCAAACACTCTCATATGTTCAAATAGAATTTTTAGAAGAATAAAATAAATAGAATAAATAGAATTTTTAGTTAGGCATGGTGGTGCATACCTTTTAATCACAGTATTCAGGAGGCAAAGAAGTAGGCAGATGTCTGTAAGTCTGAGGCTAGCCTGGCCTACATAGTGAGTCCCAGGCCAGCCAGAACTACGTATAGTGAGACTCTTTTTCAAAATAATTCTTTAAAACTGTGTGTGTGTCTGTGCGTGTGTGTACATATGTATGTCTCAGTGTGCAATACCATGCATGCGGAGATAAAAGGCAACTTACAGGAGTTACTTCCCTCCTTCTATCATGTGGGTCACAGGGATCAAGCTTAGCAAAAAATTCCTTAACCTGCTCAGCCATCTTGCCAGCTCTCAGCCGCCTCCTGCTCCTTTTTATCTTTTGCTTCAAAGGGGTCTCCTCTAAACCTGAACTGAGGAATTTATTTGTCAAGGGAAAATGATCTCAGAAGTGTCTCTGCTCACTGTTCAGCCTGCAGAATCTCAGGCTCAGCACTCTGGTGCATTCAGCCTCAGGCTTAATGACATCAATAGCTTAAATACTGGGCTCCAGGAAGTGGAGCACAGGCCCTGACAGAGGAAGCCCCTTGACCCTTGCACACTGCTCTCCTGCTTTCCTGTGGCACACCATGGGCACCCACATGGTAGGTTCAGAGAAAGTGAGAAAATGACTAGAGACCAAGGGTCTGCTGTTTTTAAGGTGGTGGTGAGAACCACGGCCAGGGAAGAGTTCTACCTGAGCCACACCCCTAGCTCAGAGTCAGGAATTTTAATGAGTGCCATCAAAATAAGCATATAAGCATATAGGAGACACATGAGCTATCCAAAGAGATTGAAGAATTTGTAAAGCAGAAGAAATGGAAACAATAAAGGCCTGCAAGACCTTCCGAGAACAGTTAAGAGCATTTGCTGCTCTTTAAGAAAAACAGAGTTCACTTCCTAGTGTCTATATTGGTGTGTGTCACATTCTCTGTAACTCCAGCTATACAGATCTAAGACCTAGAGTTCCCCTCCTCTTCCTGCACACACACACACACACACACACACACACACACACACACACACACACACTGTTACACACTTTCAAATCTTTTTTTTGGAGGGGCAGTGGTGTTGAATCAGAATTTTTCTGTGTAGCCTTAGCTGTCCTGGAACTTGCTCTGTAGACCGGGCTGAACCTCAAACACACAGAGACTTGCATTTCTCTGCTTCCTGAGTACTGGGATTAAAGGCATGTTCTACCACAGCTTCAAATTATATTCTTAAAAAAGCAACCCTGAGGACTGGATCTGATCTGGGGCCTACAGGAAAACTAAAGAGACACATGGGAGGCTGAGTTTCCGGTGTAAAGATGAGGACTCTGCACAGGGCATAAGGAAAGCAACACTCTTGCATGGCTGTTTCCCAGAAACAGCCAATGCCTGTAACATTAACCACAGGACACTAACACTTAAACATACCCTCTGTCAACACACATCTACCCACATAGCTGACGGCAAAACTGACCTGACTTCCTGTTTCAATGCTGGTAGGCCTATTTGAGGCAAAGGCAAACTGTTCCAAATAGAAAAGTCCCTGGATCCTCAAACACAGATTGCTAGGCAAAAGTGCCTTATAAATGTCACAGCCCAGGACACCTTCATTTTACCTACTTTTTACCAAAGATTCTGAACCATGTTGAAGAATAATAGTGTTTCCAGAGGACAGAAACTTCTAGTTGGATTTTCTTTTAATAGGACAAGGTTTGGTCAAATGCAGAGCACAGAGCCTGCCAGGTAAATGTCCTTCTGCTGAGTTGTATTTCCCAGCCTTTACCATTACTTTTCTGGTGTTTTGCTTTGTTTTTTTGTTGTTTTTCTGTCAAGCCTTCATACACATAGGATGTAATCAGACTGGCCGGGCGGTGGTGGCGCACGCCTTTAATCCCAGCACTTGGGAGGCAGAGGCAGGCGGATTTCTGAGTTCGAGAGTTCGAGGCTAGCCTGGTCTACAGAGTGAGTTACAGGACAGCCAGGGCTACACAGAGAAACCCTGTCTTGAAAAACCAAAAAAAAAAAAAAAAAAAAAAAAAAGGATGTAATCAGACCAACAGCTTGAATATAAAGCACCTATCTCACATAAACCCCAGATCAGATCTGATTTTCATGGCTGCTAACTTCTGCTTCCCTAATTCTTCCATCTTTTTGTGTATCTCATGAGTTTTCATATCCTTCTTGAAAAAAAAAAGATTGATTTATTTATTTGTTTTAATTTTATTTATTTTTGACACACAGTCTAACATTATGCAGTCCTGGCTGGCCTGGCCACTATCTTTTAGACCAGGCTGGTCTCTAACTCACAGAAATCTGCCTGCCTTTGCCTCCCAAGTACTGGAATTAAAGGTGTGTACCACCCACATCTGGCAATTGATTTATGTTCTGTATATGTGTGAGTGCCTTCGTGTGTATATGTGTACCATGAATGTGCTAGTACCAGCAGAGGCTAGAAGAAATGGATTAGAATTAAAGGAGTTGTGAGTCACCTGATGTGGGTGCTAGGAGCCAAATCCAGGTCCTCTGCAAGAGGAGCAAGTGCTCATAGCTGCTGAGCCATCTTCCAGCCCATCATACTCATTGTGGCCTCCAGGTTCTTGCTATTGAGTTTATTAGCCCAGGATGAACTTGTCATGGCCCTCAGAAAACTAAGATTGCAGGGAGATGCTACCACATTTTGTAAGATTGTCTTGAGACAGACAGGTCTTACACTATAATCCAGGATGGCCTAGAACTTAACTCTGTAGATCCAGGATGACCTTGAATTTATCTTAATCCTCCTGCCTTGGCCTGCTAGGTGCTAGAATTACATGTGTTAGTCACCATGCCCAGATACTGGTAGTTCTTTGAAGATGTGAAAGGGGCAATGAGAAAGCTCAGTGGTTGGGGGCATTTGCTGCCAGCCCTGATAACTGCAGTTCAATCTCCAGAACCTGCATGGTGGAAGAACAGACTCCTGAAAGTTATCCTTTGACACTCACACCTCCATCTACCTACACACAGACATAATAGCTATATGTAATTTTTTTAAAAATTAAATATGTAGAAATTCAGAGCTTTCATTCTTACCATGACCCAGACATGTAGGGAGATGCTGAGGGCAAGGTACACAGATGTCAGAATGATGGTCCCTTTGAACTTATGGAATAGGAGGTTGACCAGGCCGGCCTGGAAGACGAAGGTGTTGAAGAACATGAGGAAAATTATGATGATGTTGAAGAGGATTGCAACATCCTGGATGCTGTAGACACATAAAACAAAGTATAGACAAGTGGGGGCTGTATGAGGACTTAAGAGATGGCCCTAAGAGCCAAGGGGAATGAAGAGATCTGTTCTTCTCTATGACATTGTCACTCCAAACCCCTAAACAGCATAGACCTCTAAACACACTAATTAATAACTTTAAAATGCTCAACTGTGCCAGTCAGGGCCTTCACACTCTTTGGAGTCAGCTTTTCAGGCCTGCTTATACTCACATGAACAGCACGAGCTGGATAACAGGAGCCATTCGGAGTAGCTCCGAGAAGGAATTGACGAACAGGTCATAGGACAGCAATAGGAACTGCAGGGAGAGCACCAGGCTGTAGTTACTGGTCTGGAGCATCTTCTGTCTGATTTTTGGGACTCCCAAGGGTACATTCCACAGTTCTGGAGAAAATAACTTCTGGTTCTCTCTCTGCCCAGAACTTGGGGAGAGATGTTTAGTCTTTCCAAATCAGAGCTGTCTCCCTGGCTCTAATGCAAGGACCTGTTTGGAGGGGAGAGAGGCAAGAAAGGGAGGAAGGGCAAGGAGGACAAGATCAGAAGTCTAGCAGCAAACATCTACTGAGCATCGGTATGCAACACACCATTCTAGGTAATCAGGGTATATTAGTTACAACCAATCATAAAAACAAAAGCCCAACTAAAGCCAGGCATAGTGGCACACACTGTAATCACAATACTCAGGAACCTATAACAGGAGGATTGAAAGTCTGAGGCCAGCTTGGGTTATGAGAGCCAAGACTTCACCAAACAAAACAAGACAAAACCCATCCCCCACTGCACCTTAACTTGTCATTCTTTCTAGAGACTAATAACAGCAGACTTTTCTTCATGTCTGATCCTTCTTTTTTTTTTTAACCAGATATTGCTATGTAGCCCAAGCTCATCTTGAATTCTTTTACACACACACACACACACACACACTATATATATATATATATTATATGAGTACACTGTGGCTGCCTTCAGACACACCAGAAGAGGGCATCAGATCCCATTACAGATGGTTGTGAGCCACCATGAGGTTGCTGGGAATTGAACTCAGGACCTCTGGAAGAGCAGCCCGTGCTCTTAACCACTGAGCCATCTCCCCAGCCCTCATCTTGAATTCTTGATCTTCCTGCCTCACCCTGTGCCTGTTTTACAGGAATGTACCCACACCAGACAAATGTACAACTCTAACCAAGAATATTTAGGTTACTACAGAGAAGTGATAGCCTGGTTACATAGTAGTAATAGTAGTAAATAAACCTTTATATACTACATGCAACACTCTAGGAACTGTTTCAATCACAGACATATTTAAAGACCTTATAATAACTTCATAAGGTAGGAAATAAACTCTTATTTCCCTCAATTCATAGATGTGGAAACTGAGGCTCAGCAAAATTAACTAATTTGACCAAGATTCCACAGCTGGTAGGTGGCAGAGAGGTATTCTAATAGAGGCACTACACAACCAGCCTATTTCATAACTGATAGAGTGCTGTCTAAGTAGGTGAGGGATATGTTCTCATAGAAATGGGCAGTGTCACATACAGAAAGAGTTGAGAGGACACAGTACTTTCCTAGAAGACCTTTATAAAGATTATGACAGAAACACTGAGGCAGCAGGTAAGGGGAGCATATTTAAAACTTTACTTAATCCCTGGACTTGAAAAGCAGCCATTTTAGCGCATATAACCCTCATTTTGCAAAGATTTTGAGGGGTTCAGGACCCGTCCACCTTCCGTGGTGGAAAAGCCTCATGTTTTTTGGATATATGAATGTATCTTCTCTGGGCTTGAGTTTTCACAATCTCTCTCCTAGATACCAGCGCCACGATAATCTTGTTAACCAAGAGATTTTACTTTAATCCTCATAACAATGTGCAAGGTAGGAAAGAACTGTCCCCTGACTACAGGCAAGGACACATAGTTAGAGTAATTTCCTCCAGATCGCAAGTGAGTAGAGCCAAACGCACCACTTTGTAAGGCTCCATCAATGGCATCCGTTAGATAGAAACGCCCCTCGCTCTAGCTACGCGGACGAGCACCCTCCAATTTAATGCGGTTTTCCTCACCCGTCCCAATCCGCTCACAAACCGGAATGCCTCGGCAAAAGACCCATAGTAAAAGCAATAGCAACACAAAATTCTGACTTCCAGCCACTCTATGATCGGCATCATCTACACTCACCTCAAAGAACCGACGTCGGTTGTCATGGGAACACCCTCTCGGCTTCCGGAAGCCGACTTTAAATTCCGGAAGTAGATTCCTAATTGCCCGCCATGTTAGGGCCTTTGCTTTTCCAGGCTCTCCCTGAGACCGGTTCTATCTATCCTGCCTCGCTGAGGGCCTACCCTAGCGAGAGGCTGTTAACCCCAGCATTTCTCCTGTCTCGGGACGGGATCTGTGGTTAGAGACAAGGCTGACAGGAGGCAGCGCTCTTAGGAATCGGACAAGAAACCGCTCAGTAACTCGCCCCTTAGCTTGCAAACCCCATTTCCCAGACGCCCTAGCTCACCACCGGAAGTGGCAGAGCGTATAAAAGCTCAGGTAGCGCCCTCTTGTAGCGGATCCCGTGGCCTGCAGACTAGCTGGAAAGTCAATTCGCCGAAGTCCTGGAGGAGTTTAGGGAGTGGCAGCTCCCGCGGACCGGCGGGTCGCAGAGACCTGCCCCCAAGGTGTCCCACTGTGTTGTTAAGGGTGGGATAGAACCCGGCCTGGGAGAGCTGGGATATGGGTTCCAGTGGTGGTTCCGCCGCTTCCTTGCTTCGCTCTGTCATAACTCGGCGTTCAGCCTATTTCTCCTTTTAAGAATTGGACACTTTTCCGTTCCCCTTCTGTACTGCAGGTGGTGTTTTTAGAGGCTCTCATGGTTTTCAAAAGGCGACTCATCTAAGACTGCTAGAACCAACCTGACTAAAGGAGTCAACGTCATACCTACCCCCTTGCACCTGGAATAGATCTGGCTGTCCGAAGGACGAAGGACCGGCCAGTCTGTGAGCACTTGTGCTAAGGTGGACTTTATTCACACTCCTGAGAGGAATATTATTTGGCACTCACTCCTGAGTCCTGCTGTTTGGAGGGGCTGCCTTTGGAAATGAGTTCTGGGAACTGAGCACAGGAACTGGGTGCCTGTACCAGGCTTGCCATTTGCCTGACCAAGTTACTCTTCTTTGGATCCTGACGCTGCAGTACTTTTGTAAGATGCGGGTTTATAGGATCTGCACTCTAAATCTGGTCCCCAGGATTCTTAGTGTCCCTCAGTCTTTGAGGAAGGAGCGACAAACTCTGTTCCTTGGTCTGTTTACTTCTAAAAGTAACTGTGTTTGGAGTACAGCCTTTTTCTGACAGTAATGGAAGGTTCATTTCTTAACCCTGGAACTGTTTTAGCTCAGCCTATGAGAATCCTTTAGCCAGAGAATTGAGGAAAACATTAGATAAAGGTTAGGTACACTTCTTAAATCAGGATAGATAAACTACACCCCATAGGCCACATCTAACCCTGAGTGGCTTTTACACATTTGAACTATTGGGGCAGGGTGATCATATTATGTGAAATGTGAAAATCATGTAAAACTTAGACATCAGTGTCTTAATAGTGTTAATGAAGCACAGTCATGTTCATTTGTTAAGATGCCCTTCCTGGATGCTCTTATATTACACCAGACAAGAATGAACATTGTTGTGACAGAGGCTACAAGCCCTACACAGCCTAAAGAGTCTGTGGACGCCCTTCCTGAGCATGGGGCTCAGCCAAGCAAGGACAGGAGACTCGCTGGTGGTGAGCATGTCTGGAAGTCTTAGTCCAAACTGCTCTCTCAGTGCAAGTGAGAGTATAGTCTCAGCCTTTGCCTGTGTTCTTTCCCTTGCTTTTGCTATTTTAGGAAAGGAGAGGGCTTATTTGTGAACTGTAGACAGCAATGTAACTAACTTTCCTGCCTTCTGTCAGAAAAGTGCCCCAACCCTCCGTTCTAAGTCGGCTTTGAAGTGCTCACCCAGCACTTGTAACTGGAGTGATGCAGGTCCGTTTGGAATGTTTTGCCTTTCCTTTTCCTCAAATGTGTCTGTCTGTGAATGGTACATGTGTGTAGGTTCCTGTGGAGACTAGAAGTAGGTATTTGGTCCCTTGGAGCTGTGAGCTGATGCAGGTGCTGGGAACTCAACTGTGGTGTGCTGCAAGACCAGTCTGTACTTTTAACTTCTTAACTGCAGAGCCTTCTCTTCATATGCCTCCCCCACACCTCTGCCCCCCACCCAGGGTCTTATTTAGCCTAGGCTAGGCTCAGCTTTATAGACATGTAGCCGAGGATGACCTCAGGCTTCGGATTCTTCTGGTTTTTACCTCTAGAATACTGAGATTATAGACATGTACCATCCCACTTTTAAGTTTCAAGATAGAAGACATGTAGAGTTTATTACAAGGTGAAGGTGGGGCATGAGCCAGAAATGAAGTAGACAGTGTTCAGAGAGAACATTGTATAGAACTCCCTCTCAAGGGGTGAGAGAGTGAACAATGGGCAAAGGGACCATTGTCTCCTTCTTCCTTTTGTAAAAGAAAATAAATTGCAGAAATCAGCATTGTCAGATAACTGAAGCATTTCACTGGAAAAGTGGAGGTTGTGTTAGGCGGTGGACACCTGAGAATCCCAAACCTTTTTTGCTCTTGCATGAATCAAGGAGGCAGCTCTGAGGCTGGCTAATAAATCCCTGGACCCAGTGGCTCAGTCATGAAACATAGTTTTCCCCCTAGCCCTCAGTTCTTTCTCAGAGATTGCTACTAACTAGAGTCACCTGTGAGAACCCAGCATCTGCTGCTGGTTGGATGGCTATCTGGCATGTCATGAGATGTAATCAAGGCTACAGAGAGGCCTGGGCAGGCATGGGAACCATGAGCTTCAGGTTTTTGTTTGTTGGGGGAGCTGGTCTCACTATGTTGCTCAAGCTAATGTTGAACTACTGTACTCAAATGATCCTTCTGATTCAGCCTCTCAAGTAGCTAGTGGCATAGATACCACCTTGCTTAACTAGCTTGAGGTTTTGTTAGTGGTTAGGATAAAATCCTGTAGGGGCTAAAGAGATGGCTCAGTGGTTAAGAATGCTTGCTGCTCTTTCACAGGACCTAGATTTGATTTCCTGCACTCAAGTTGGGTGGTCCACAAGACTAACTCCAGCTCCAGAGAACCTAACAACTGTTTCTGGCTTTTGTGGATACCTGCATGTACATCACTTGGGATACCTTCACACACACACACACACTTTGAAATACTCTGATAGTAACAAATGTGAAGTTATAATACTTGATTCTCAATAATGTCCTTTCGTTTTTTGTTATGATCTTATAGCCTGTGGATAAGGAAAAAGATCTAAGAGCTTGAAGCTAAGTAGACAAGGGTTTGAAACTCCTGTGGACTTTCTGGGTCCTGGTGGTAGTTACTGTGCATCTGAACT